CAATCAAATACTCACATATACTAACACACAGACAAATACTCACATATATTAACACAGCAATATACACTCCTGATCCTATGCCTACCATGCAGGATGATGGCAACCTTGAAATGTGCCGCCCCCGCTCTATCAGAACTCAATACAGATCAAAATGCGGCCGTTCATCGCTGTCTGTCCAATTCAGAGTACACATGCATTCTGGGCATGCCAGGTGTGTGTGTGTCTTCTGCGGCCATTTCGATGTATGTATATGTGTGTGCACGATTTGTTCGTCGTTGAAATATGTGTATGCTTTCTTCATTTGTGAGCTAGGCATATACTTCATTCATCATTGAAATACTTATATACCCCATTCATCATTGAATTACATATATACCCCATTCATCATTGAAATACACATATACCCCATTCATCATTGAAATACATATATACCCCATTCATCATTGAATTATATTTGTACCCCATTCATCATTGAATTACCTATATACCCCATTCATCATTGAATTACATATATACCCCATTCATCATTGAATTACTAATATACTTCATGTATTTGCAAGAGGAGTCTGTGCGTCTTTCAGCTGTGTGTTGTATGTGAGTGAGGCATTCCCACGGCGTATTCGCCTTGTGCTTCCGTTGAACGCCACTCAATTCTCGGTAATGAGTGTACGCCTCCTTATTTCAAACGATTACAATCTCTAAGCAAACGTATGTGCCATGTAAGTGAGGTATACTCGACTACGTATGCATACGCATTCTAACACACGCACTCTGTACCTGAATTGTTTTTATCTAATCGAAGGGACAGGGAAGACCACTACCATTGCGCAGCTGATCAAGTCACTGGTGGCGCAGGGCAAGAGTGTGTTGCTTTCCTCGTACACGCATACAGCAGTGGACACCGTCTTGTTGAAACTCTTGGAACTGGGCGTAGGTAGGTTGGTGCTCAAGTATAAACATAAATATATATATACAGATGTATGCACACGCCTATATATATATATATATATATATATATATATATATANACTACACACACACACACACACACACACACAC